GATCGCGGCAGTAACATGAAAGTTCATTCTATCAGTTTCCGTCCTTTGACCAGCCAGAAGGGTGGCTTTAAGGCTGTGGGAAAAACACATGGGAAAGTCAAGGCAACAAGCTCTGTAAGGGGGAAATTTCTTGAGGTGCACTCTCAGACTCGATCACATTTATTGGCTTCTGCAAATTCCAGAAGCAGCTTAAAGGGGCCAAGAGGGAGTAGTGACATGTGGCTGCATGCAGCACCTGAGAGGGATTTAGACAGCATACTGTCTTTACATTCATCTTTGTATAATTTTGAACAACGTAGAGACTCTGTTTGAAGAACGTATTCTATCCATTTTTTCCCCAAATAAGAGAGCTTTACGTCAAATACAAGTTTTGAAGGCCTTCTTGTTGTTTTATTGCGCTTTCTGTACCAAAAAGGAGCACAGGTAGGATTTTTGGGAGGGAAGAGACATAAAAACTCTTGGATGTATTTTATTATGTATGTCGTTCTAAATCTGAAAAGCATCTACTGATAGAATTGTTGAATGCTGTTTTACAGTTACTTTTTCATTTTACATCATGCTTCACTTTCGTATACTATTAAGACGATGAGATACCAATAGAATAAATGAAATCACGTGACAAGTTTATTGGCTATTCAAGTTTCCTAATGTTTAACCATACATTATAAACTATTCGTAGGAACATAATTTAGATATAGTTCTTACGTATATTGTTTTCTTGTAAAAGGAAAACTTGGTACGTTTTTTAATGTATATTTTTATTTGGTGAATTGCGAGATAAAAATTTGAATTCTAATTACAGAGAACGATATTAAAGGCAAGTAAGAGATAATATTCAAATGGTCCTTCCTATTCACACTTTTGGCACTTGCTAGTTACATCTGGTATATTCTGCGACAAAGTTTTCCAAGTCCAGTACGGTCATTGACAAGTTCCATTCATTCACGATGGGTCCATTTCGTGGAGTTATTCTCACCGTAATACGTAATTTAATGGCTGCATTGAGTCCTCTTAATGTAAGCCATTTTAATTTTTAGAGAAAGCAAGATAAAGCTTTAGGTCTTGAATAGTTCAGAAAGGGATTGGTTTTGTAAGGTACCTTAGCATGAAGGCCCATTAATTGGATCACATTCAACATCATCTTCTTGCGTTTGGTCACCATCAAGCCAATGCTTGCACTTCATGGTCATGCCTCATTCAATGCTTCTATTTTATTTGTTTATTTTGTGAATATTCAATTTTTTAACTTTAACTTTTTTCAAAACTTTAGTTTATAATATCTTCAAAATCAGATTTTTAACTATGATATCTTTAACTCAAACCTTCCCTGTCTAGTTATATTTACTCATAAACCCTGTGATGACGAAAGTTTAGATATTTTGTTTTGTAATTAGAAGATAAGATTAGCCTTTAACATAGTTGTCTTACCTTTAACAATGGAATGGAATAAACAAATCTAAAGGATCATACCTCAAGATTCCAACAATTCATTGTATTTGCTTTCTTTCTTAATCTATTACGTAACCTAACCCCACCCAAAACCTATAACGTCATTGATTAAAATATTGCACCCCAAACTCCAATTAGTTTAGTCATGAACAATATATCTTTGCAAGCTGCTATTCCCAGAGTGGAGAAAGATATTTAGCAGATACTGATTAAATGAAATAGAAACATTCTAAATATCTTTTTTCTAAAGTTGCCTTCCATCGTGTTGATTGTTTTAAAAAAGTTAGTCGACAAATTTATCCTTTGATGTCTTTTATCATCTCTTCAACCATTTAAAATTTTTCAGCACGTAGTTTAACTTAGAAAGTTACGAAGATTTTTCTTCCTTTAACATACATTGAACCTATGTAGATTTTCATGGAACAAAACTTTTAACGAAGCACATCCTTGATCAAACGTAAAAATAACGAAAACTGCATATATAAAATTTCCCATGATAAAGAGAGAATCACCACTGAGGGATATCTTAAAACTGTAGTTATTCATCATCATTTTTCCACTTTAAACCACCTAATTAATGTTTATTATTTTCATCTTTATATCACACTTTATCCCTAATTATATGAAGGCTTCTACATTATATTGTTTCACTTATATATTTATATTTTTTATTTTATCATATTTGTTATATTTTTACTTTTTTTGTTTAAAAATATACCTAAGTTAGATGTTGCTTTTAGTTGAAAAAATATAGTATGTATTCACACTTAAAATAAATTTTACAGATAATCTAATTACAAATTATTACATATGAAAATTTTCAAAATTTCATAATAATTATTTTAAACGTTATATCAGTAATAATTTTTGGCTTTTTATGATTTTAATTCTGATTCACATTTTTTCATAAAAAAAGTTATAATTTTGAATATATTTTACTTTTTAAATTTGGTCTAATTAAACTATGCATCTAGCATTTTTATTAAAAACATCGTCAAGGAATAATTTGATTAATTTTAAAAAATAAACATACATAAAGTTAATAATATATTAGACTAAAGATATCTATTTTATGAGATATGAAAATTAAAATTACAAAAAAAAAATATACAGATAAAAACGAAAGAGAAACCAAAATTATAATATAAGTTTAACTCTAATTTATTAAGTATGAAGAATTCGACAATAATAATGCATAGCAGTTAAAGTTCTTTCTAATCGTGTGTTTGTATGAGAGATGTGTGGTTCAGAATGCATGCAGATATCCCTCTATTATTCCCATGCCATGGAAACTGTTGCAAATGGTGGGAAAATGAATATTTTGACAAATGGCCCATTACTCTATTCAATACCACGATAACAAACACGACCTTATCCTCTCTGTGTTCCAAACCCTCCCCAACAATCCAACTTCTTCATCCCACGCAAAATAATGTTAAATTTGAAAATAAAATAAAAAATTATTAGCATCAAGATCTTAATATTCATTATAATAATATTATTAAGATATATTGTTCTAATATAATTTGTTTTCTTTAAATATTCGTTTGGATTGAATGAATCAATTTGTGAGGGGTGAGAAATACAATAAAAATTATATTTTCAAAACATAATAAATATTTTATATAATTTTTTTGTTTAATTTTTATTATTATTTTATTATATTTTTTAATCAACTAATTTTACTTTTTATTTTATATCTTTCATTTTTCTTTATCTCAAATTCACTTTTTAATCTAAATAATAATTAAAAATATAATTTATCACGATTTTATGTTATCGAATATTTACAAAGAAGTTAATTCATAAAGATTTTTAATAAATGAAATATGAATTAATTAAATCAAAAAATATAGTAACCCAAAATTTTAAAGTATTAAAATAAAGATTTTTTAAAATTTTACCTTGCACTTAAATTTTTAGATGTCCTAAGTTTAAAGAGAAAAACGTATAAATAAATGATACGAGATGATGAAGGAAAATACAATTTATTTTTGTGACGACGTTTGGACCTTTCGTCCATATAAAGATTCGTGTGACAATGATGAGTTGTCCCGTTCCTTTCACGTGTTACTTGTTTGTCTCGATGGCTTTTTTCGGTGATGTAGTTGATTAACCACCATTACTTGCATGTCTCTTTATTTGATTGGTACTGCATTTTTTGGGCCAGTTAGCCACACTGCAAGTTGTGCCCTGCACTGGAAGATACAAATTAGTGTACAATCCAGATTCAAGTTAATCATTGCGGAGGATGAACTTATAAAAGGGAAATTGGTGGGAGCATTATTCCTTTATCAGGAACAGTGAAATTTTATTATTGATTTTGGATTAAATAATAAATTAATATTAAAATGTAAAAAAAATTGTAAATATATTAAATAATAGTTAAATTTAGATATTAAAATTATATAATTTATGAGAATTATAAAATTAAAAAATATAAGAAATAAATTTTAAAATATAAATAAATATATTATTAAATAATAATTAAATTTAAAAGATGAAAATTATAAATTATACGAAAATTATAAAGTTTTGTGATAATAATATTTTATGGTATTCCTAGTCAACTCAAACATAATTGTTTATACTCAATAATATATGTGATCTCAACTAAAAAAAATAAGTATTTAAATATGATTTGAAAGAAGAAAATAGATTAACCAGAAAGGAAATTGTGAGTTAATAATAGATAAGTAATAGTTGAACAATAAGAATCAATTTTGATTTTTTTTATAACAACTAAATTGATCAAATTTAAATTAATTTTAAAAATTTACATCAATTTAATCCCGTTGAATTAGTTTACTCAAATTCCATCTTTTTTTTTGTTTATTTAGATGGGATATTTAATTTTTAAATTTTGATACATCTTTATCCGCAATGTTTTAAAAGAAGCTAGATGTTGAACTAAATTAACAAATGAATAATAAAACTACACAAGTCAAGTTATAATAAACAATGCAGGTTATTGAACATGAGTTTGAGAAAACGAAATACTAGACGATAGACCTTTTTATTGACATTTTTTACCCTGTAAAAAAATATTTTTGCCGATTTCTTTTTTCGATTTTATTGTTGTTTTTTTTAAGAAGGACGTGGGCGTTGTTTTTTGTTATTTTAAGGGGAAAAAAGTTGTTTGAGAGATTTTTACGCAGAAAAAGAGGACTCGGTTATTTGTTCAATTAATCTTAATTTATTTTTTCAAGAGAATTTTAACATTTGACATTTTTTTAGCTTTTTTTTATAGGAATTTAACATTTTTAAATAAAACATAATTATTAAATTAGATGAAGAAAAGGATAAATCATAAGAATTTATATTAAATGGCAGTGTATTATGTTTGAGATTTAGTTATTAATAATTGAGTTACAGCTTTAAGTCACATTACATAAATTCTCTCAGCACTATTTTAACTTATTTTTTATTTAAAAAATTATATATGAATTTTTGCTTACACTTATTATGAATATTTTTTTACTATGATTTCAAATGGGTTCACGAAGTATCCATCTTGGAGGGACGAAGCTTCCTAATATTCGCACGTTCTTTCATTTCAAGTCTCTCTCTCTCCTTTGAACCGCAATTTGCCCTTCACACGTCACTACCGACACGTGTCGCCTAAAATATGGCCCTTTGCTTACACGGCTCTCCGTGAAACACTGAAGAAAACCTCGTTAACCGGCTACACCCAGTTAGCTCTTTATAACAAAAAACCCTTATATTCCGTTTGGTTGAAGTATAAATTGGCATCAAGGGAACCCAACCTCACTCTTCAAATCCTTTTTTCGACTCTTCCTTGTTTGGCTCACTGTTGCACCTTTCTCGTTATGATAGCTCCCGGTCGGCGTCCACCGCCGATTGAGGTTAACAAAATACCCAAAAAGCACAGCGTAGCGCAGCGCAGCCAAACGCGGTGGAAAACCATGACGAACTTCTGAAATTCCCACTCTGCCCTTCATTTCTCGGTATATTTTTTTTTTCTACTTTTATTTTTTTGCCTGGGCTGCTATCCGGTGAGGTTAGTTACATGCCGGCCCCCAAGAGCAGCCGCAACGGCGGGACCGAGGGTCACCGGCGGGGAAGGTCCTCGTCGTTCCACGGCCAGAGCGCCGCGTCCGTCGGTCAGCTCCGCCGTCCGAAGACGGTTCCTGACCTCCTGTCCCTCAGAAGCCTTGCTGGAACGGCGCCGGAAGGTGTGCCGAGACAGCCGCCGAAGATGCTGTTGAAGGTAAGCGTGCTGAGAAGCCTCGCTCCCGTGCAGGTGCTGATGACGCCGGAATCCACCGTCGGCGACCTGATAGCGGCGACGCTGCGACAGTACGTGAAGGAAAATCGACGCCCAATCTTGCCGGCCAACTCAACCTCCGATTTCGACCTCCATTACTCACAGTTTAGTCTAGAAAGTAGGTCTCAACTACCTCAAAAATTAATGAATTATATGCAATTTTTCAAGATAATTCTCCGATTAAAATTGATGTTTCGTTTAGATAATTATCATTACACTTAATCGAATGATAAAAGATTTATTACGCTAATTATTGAAATTAAATTTAATTATAGATACAAAACTGCATAGTTTATGTTGGTAAACTAATTCGTCTTGGATTTTATGATTTTGCGATGTTTCAGGTTTGGATAGAAAGGAGAATCTTATGGAGCTTGGATCAAGGACCTTCTTTCTGTGTCCGCGAAAGACTGGCACGGCCTTGGAAGGTAGCGTAACGGCGCCGTTTGCGTCTTGTGCCAAAGAAGCGAAAAACGAGAGGGAGAGGTGTGGTGGTGGTGGTGGTGGTAGTGCTTTTGCTTGGTTCAAACTCATGCAATTCATGATGTAATTGGAATTGGTTGGTTAGTTATTGTTTTTTTATTTGGATTGAAATATCTTTTTTTATGGTCCAGAATAATTGCCTGGATACTTGTAAATACTGATAGGTTGATTTTAGATTCATGTGCAAGCTAAGCGAAAATGTAAAATTGCATGTATGATTTTTCAATTCATGAGTAAATGTTTAAGCTTTTAATTGTATAAATTTTACTTATAAAAACTACTTACCCAACGATGCATTAAAATTAAACTCATATTATAATTTTTATTTAATGATTACACCAATTTTATTCCTCATTTCTAAATTAAAATTTCGATTATTGTGAAAAAAAAAAACTAAAATATCAAAACCATATCAACCGGATGAATGGCTCTTGTGTACAACTAAGTCCGTGACTTTTATTGGAGATTATTATTCGGTTTTGAATACTGGACGAAACGTGAAACTTGAACATTGACGGAATAAATTAATAAACATGCTACTTATATGTTTTGCATTAGAATAATTAGTGAGTGTACACAACTTACACAATAATACAGCAATTTAAGCAAATTTAACAAATCATGTCAAGGAAATTAATCTATTTGTTTTTTCTCACTTGTCATGTGGCATAATTTCTTAAGTGTATATACTTAGATATGTGTCCTGTGACCAAATCGTTAAACTCTTGTAGTAAACTAGGAATGAACGTAAACACATTATTATTCTGCACATAAACTTTTGAATAATTAAAATAATTAAATATTTAATTATTTTATTTTGATATATTCAGGAATTTTATATCCGATCAAAGTTGAGATTAATTGTAATTTATATGTATTTTTTTTCTTAATTTATGAGACATGTTTTAATGATAAAATTGTAAAGGACGAGAAAAATAAATAATTTTTCGAACATGAAAATTGATCTTAATCATGACGTTCACCGTGAAACCGAAAATATAATTTCGTTTCATTCATACTCCTTTAGTCTTAAGGCTATGATGTTCACGAGTCTCATATCACTTAGAAGTAAAGACTAAAGGTAATTTATATACATTCTCCTCTCTCACTTAGAAGTAAAGACTAAAGGTAATTTATATACATTCTCCTCTCTCACTCTGGTCTATTTATGAGTTTTGCATCATTTAGAAGTCAAAATCAGATAAAATTTATATACACCATCTTCTCTTACAGAGACGTCTTTTAAAGGAAAATGGTAACAGACGAGAGTTTTAAAATAAAGTAGACAATTTAAACGTGAGAATTTAACCTAACAATGATAAGCGAACAATACCTCATTTTTTAAAGAAAAAATCGTTTACGAAAGTTTTAAAGAAAAAACAGACAATATCTCAAATGTGAGAATTTATCCTAACAATGTTAAGTGGACAATATCTCAAAGATATAACGATATTATCATAACTGGAGATAAGGTTGAGACACTCTCAATTAATCAACAATGTCTCAATTGAATTTTGAATTTTAAAAAAATAACATAAAAGTTAAATGTTGAAAGAATATAATTTTTTTTATCATGCTAAATTTAAAGATTTATAATTTTAAATAGCTAATTTTTTATAATTTTTTGAAATTTTAATTTAAATAACATTTTTATAATAATATATTCTTATTTTTTTCTAATAATAATATATTCTTATTTTTTTCTAATAATAATAATAAGGTTCTTTTTTTCGTCACATTTTATAAATAAATAGAAAAATTCCAATATATATATATATATATATATATATATATATAATTTTCATCAATCTTTAGAGTTAATGATGGACTAAATTTATATATTTATTTCAAAAAATTTCGTATATAATATTGAAAATTTATTTCAATAAAAAAAAACATCAATGCATAAAATTTCACCACAACTTCTTTTTATATGCATTGTTTAAAATTAGAAAGAAAAAAATACAACACCATGTTCATTTATGAAGTCCGGGGAATATTAGATGGTTGCTTATCAATTGTTAATGGAGATGAGAATAATTATTTGAAAATAAAAATATATATTATAATTTTCATAATTAAATTATCTAAAATTTGAGAAAATTATTTAAAACTATAATAATTTTTTAAATAATTTATAATAAAATATTTATTTTTATTTTAAATAACTGTTGCTAAGAATTCTCTTTACATATCTCCTACATATTGAAAACCAAGTGTGTACGACTCAATAAATTTAAATAATTTCTTACACGAAAAGTTGTTTTTCTTTGGCATAAAAATCTTCCGCTTGACTAAGTTTGTTTCCCCTTTCCGTCGAAAAGTGTTTAACCAGGGTCCACAAGTAGATACAATTAATCCAGTGAGACAATTTACCATAAAAAAGTTTCAATCAAAATTGGTAATAAAACAACTTGCTACATTGATTGGAAAAAGACATTCCGCCAAATGAATTTAATCTTCCGTAAATTTTCACTGTTTTAATCTCATCACTTTTTTATTTTTGTTGCCATAAATACATTTATAGATCTCCAAATTGAAAGAACCATGCTCGTAAATTACTTTACTTTCTATTATTTATGGAATTGCGAACCTCTACATTTTTGTGACCATTTTTTTTTTCATCATAGCTCAATCAGTCACAATCTTGATTTTTTGTTACAATTCATTGAATTTTTAATTTTGTATAGAGCTGAACTCAGTTTAGTCTGACTCATAGGTTAAGGAGAAAAATTATGGATTAATTTGAGTTATATTTTAACATGTCATAAATTTTCATTTAACTTATATTTATGTTGAACCAATAGAGTAAATTTAATCTGATTAAAAATTAAAATAATTATTTAAATAAAAATAAATAATAAAAAATATATATTTTTAAATTTTAAATTATATTAATTAAATTAACATTTGATTTAATATTTTCAATGGAGTTATTTAGTGAAATGTTTAAATTAAATATTAATTACTTAAAATAATTTTTTATTGAATAAATTTTATGTGTCATTAGATTTTTCATTAAAGAAATTATATATGTCGTGATACATTGCTTAGATTTGTTTATAATTATTTCATGAAATAAATTATAAAATAAACCAAAGAAAAGTAAATATGAAATGAGAATAAGAAAAAGAATGAATTCTTTAAAATGTTAAAAAAAAATTCTATTATCATTGTTTATGAATGATGTGACACAATAAATATATATTTTATATTTTTTATATATAAAAAGTAATTTATAGGAATGGTTACGAATAATATAATTATAAAATAAGAATTAAAAATTTTATTTTTATTTTTTAGTAATTTATTAATTTAAAATAATAATTAGTTTTAATAAGAAAATATTAAAATAAATGTTTGTTATAAATTTACTCTAATATTTACATTTGAAAATAAATTAATCCCTTATTAAAATAATTTCTAAATATTTATATTTTTAATAAAATAATATTATTTTAAAAATAATTATTATGTTATAAACAAATTGATCAATAAATCTATAAATCAATCCAACCTGAATCTATATAAATCATAATTTAAATAGATTAAATCAAAATAAAACTAATTTAATTTAAATCATAAACTTTTTTTTTTTTAGTTTTACCTCTTTTTCGGGCGAAACATATTTTAACATCTATAATTCTATAATATATAAATATATTGACACTATTAATATATTAAATTTAAATTCATATTATATATATATATATATATATATATATATATATTAACGAATAAACTCAATATCTTTTTGTATTTTGATTTTTTGTTTTAGGAACAAAATACCATCAATTACTGATGATTTATAAACAAATAAGGACTTCTTATTATCTTTATATTCACCTACTAATATCCTTTTATCTTAAAAAACGTTTACTTTTATTTTAGTTTATTTCACTTTTTATTATAAAACCATCATATTGTTTTTAATTTGGTTTTTATTTTCAAAGTGCATATTTTTTTGTTATATTTTAATATACATATTTTTTTATGAATAGATTGAAAATTGGATAAAAGTTTTGTTTTTTGAAATGAAAACCAAATATAAACACAAATAAACATCCCTTAGAAAAACTCCTTTTTACCACACCATACGACGACCCCTAAAGTTTGTAAAACGGATAGGACTTCATTTAAAGCCCATGCCTAACTCACGGCCCAAACCCAAATAGTAGGAGACAATAAAAAGTTTGGGGAGAGAAAAAAACAAAAAAAAAAAAAACAAAACACACACAGAGACTTATATGTCAAACAAACCCTAGTTGCCGCGACACAATCAAATTAAGTCCGATTTTCCCACTCACTGCTATAAATAATCATAAACCCTTAAAAACCCTTTCTTTCATCCTCGCTGCAAACCTTTTCTTTCATCCTCGCCACTCTTGTCTCTTCACTCATCCAACCTTATTTTGCTTTTGTTTTTGCTTCTGCTTCATTCAAATGGAGTTTTGGGGTAATCTTTTATTCTTTGTTATCTTCTCGTTTATATTTTTTCTTTTAATTTGTATTTGTATTTGTATTTACTTGTTCAGTTGTTTTTGTTCTCTGAATTGTTAAGTTTCTATTTCTTCAGTCATACGAAAACGTTCTCTTATATTTACTTGCTGCACTGATATTTTTTGTGGCATGATTTTTCTTTTTTGACCTTGATCACCAGTTATATCTAATAATGCTATTAGAAGAAGTATACAGTGTATGTATTAGCGCTTTATGAGCGATATCTGATATTTGGGATTTGTCTATTTAGGTGCTGAGGTTAAGGTTGGAGAGTCTGTTAAGGTAGACCCAGCTGGATTTGAGGCATGCATACACCTTTCTCAGGTTAGGGTTTTCGTGGATGCTATGTTTTGTTGTACTTTTATGTATGTGTAGACAAAAATTTCTGACCTGTTGCTGTGTAGGCTGCTCTTGGTGAGGCAAAGAAAGACAAAACAAATGAACCTGTGGTTGTATACTTGAAAGTTGGTGAGCAGAAATTTGTCTTGGGAACCCTCTCCAGGGATAAAATCCCTCAAATATCTCTGGAATTGGTCCTGGAAAAGGAGTTCGAACTTTCCCACAGTT